GGGGGGGGCGCAGGGAGCTATAGCTTAGTGGCTAAGAGCCTGGGCCCGAGCCAGGTGGCCTGATTCAAACTCTGCCTCCACAGTTGACCCAGTAATTGTGAGCAGGCGGGCTTCCCTCTGTGTGCCTCATTTTTCCATCCATAAATGGAGGTATTCATAATACCTACCCCAGGTCGGGAAGATTAAATGACTTACTCTGTGCAAGCGTCTAGAACAGTGTTGCATGCTCACTGAACGCCGGTGGTTGTCACTGGTACCTGGCTCCTAGCCCTGGCCCAGCACTGTTCCATTTTGGAGTCTCATTTATTCTTCACAAAAATCTCTAGTCTGGCTTCGCTAAGACACTCGGAGAATTTACTCATCAATAAGTCACCTGTACAGGACTCTTTCTATTTATTTCATTTGGGTCCCTAAAGTCAAGGAGAGCAGGGGAGCGGTATCATTGCTGTGGACGTTCCCTTCCTGTCTGACTCAGGTGCTGGGCACCAAGGTTGCCATCAGGGGTGATTAAATGTGTGGATCGGTGCCATGGAAAATGGAAAAGGAAATGGGAACTGGAAGGGACCTCGTCGGTCCCAGCCTTGTGTGGGCGACCCTCCTTTATAAACTCTAAGACACATGAAGCTCAGCCTCCGCAGACTGGAAAATTGGTTTCCAGCAATGCAGCTGTGCCCTTCGCAGGGCGGGGAGATTCCAGGTGTTAGAAAGTTTCGCCTTACAGTGAACCAGAATCCACTTGCCTGTATCTTCTGCACATTAATCTCAGTTCTGGTCCATAGAGCGACACAGTGCAGGGTTTGTCTACAGGTCAGTGCTTCACGTGCGTGGAGACAGCTGTCACGTCTCCTCCTGTCGTCCTGTCCCCAGCTGCAAGGGGATAACTCTCCCGAAGGCTCGTGGTTACAGCCACAGGCCCCTTCTCACTCACCTGCCTTCCGCTGCCCAGTCGGCTCAACTTGAGTGCCTCATGTGCTCTGTCTCCACAGGAGGAGATGGCCGAGCTGAAGGCCCAGCTCTACCTACTGGAGAAAGAGAAAAAGGCCCTGGAGCTGAAGCTGAGCACCCGGGAGGCCCAGGAGCAGGCCTACCTGGTGCACATCGAGCACCTGAAGTCCGAGGTGGAGGAGCACAAGGAGCAGCGCATGCGGTCTCTGAGCTCCACCAGCAGTGGCGGCAAAGACAAGTCTGGCAAGGTAGGGCCAGGGGGCTCGGGGACCCCCAGGCTCGGGCCTCATTCCTGCCCAGTTCCCACCACTCGCTTCCCTGTGCCTTCCTTCCCTTATTTGCATAGGAACTGCAAGCCATTCTAATTACCTAATAAATCCTAGCTTCTCACCCCAGTTTGTTTCAGGCCCAAGACATATGGGCATATGCCGACCTGCTGGTCTAATGAGCGGCTTCTCACCGCCCAAATGCAGGGTTGTCTCCAGGAGAGTTGTGCACCTGGGAAAGAAGCCACTTGCTGATGCCACGTGGCAGCGAACCGTCACTTCCTAAGTAGCTAAGAACTTCGAGGCATGCCTCACAAAGAGCCACAGCTGCACTTTGCCCACCTCTCGCCTACTAAGGAGCCCCGGGCATTCGGAATGTGGCAGCAGCTGGGCCAGCTCTCCCTCCGCCCCAGATGTTCTCACTCAGCTATCTGTTCCTTTGATAAGTTGTGACTTGGTCCTGGAGAGGCACTGGGGGTAATTCCAGGTTTACACTCCAGTGGGGGGCACTGATGAACAAATAGTGGATCCTGACACAGTGACAAAATGTCCCGCGTGCGAGGATCAGTTCCAAGTGTGATGGGAGGTTACAGGCCAGACACAGAATCCAGGTTTGGAGACTCAGGGCAGGTTTCCTGAACTGAGGCCCAGTGGAAAGTGGGAGCCAGCCTGGTGAAGAGGGCAGGGGAAGGAAGAAAGTCCACTCAAGGCCGCTGGAGCCCCCGGGAGGGAAGAGGAACTGACACATTGGCTGCAGAGGCCTGCTGGCTGTGCTCTCCCCAGCACAGTGAGGACTCGCTGAAGGGTTTGCCCCAGGGGGTGTGAAGCTTGGGCTTTGGAAAGGTCACTGGGCGAGTGCACCATGAAACCCCCTGCCCATGAGGGCAGGCCTGCTCAATGCTATTTCATAGGGTAGAACTAGGCTCGGGGATGGGTTTTCTGTTCCATGCCTACCCCTTAAAAATCTCTGCATAGCCTCTCGAGTTTATTAGCAGTCACCTGGGGACAGAGCCTGAGAGACAGAGCTCCAGTGTTCGTGTGTGTGCTCTCAGGGCGTGGTGGAAATGGGCTCACAAGGGTCCTGCCAGAAGGCCCATGAGCTGAGCATTTTCCCCTGGTTCTTGGTATTTATTTTGACTGAAGGAAGCACTGTGTTTTGTGGAATGGCTTCAAAGTACATAAGTCTCTTTGACAGAAAAGGCCAGATGATTTTTTTTTTTTAACATTAGAGTAAGGAGCTTTATAAAAGTATCTTGGGTTGTTCGGGTAATGAAATTAGAGTAAGCTGATTCTCTTGTCTTTCAAATATTGGAACCATTTACGATTTCAATGAAGTCTCCCTTCTGACTATTCATTTTCCTTATTTGTTGGTAGATGAAGCAGACTGTGCAGAGCCAGTTGGAGAACTGTAGGAGTCACAAAGTCAGTATTTTAGGGTTTTCAAGTCATACAGACTCTGCTGCACCTACGTGGCCACTGAGGAACTGTAGTGCTGGGGCAGAGACAATACAGGCACAAGGGGCCTGAGAGCATTCCAGTAACACTTTAGTTATGGACACTGAAATGTGAATTTCGTACAGTTCCTNCTTTAGTTATGGACACTGAAATGTGAATTTCATACAGTTCCTACACGTCACAAAACATTCTTTCAATCTTTTTCCATGATTTTGAAAGTAGAAAATCAATTCTTAGCCTGTGGGCCTTATAAAACCAGCTGGCAGGACAGATCTGGGTCCTGAACATCCGCTCTTGCCCCGTAGGGTAGGGTCCTTGTTTTAAAACTTCCCTCCAGCCAACAAGCTGGAAACAAATCTCATCCAAGTTTCATTAGGCCTTTGCACTTCCTGTCTCTGCAGCAGATGTTTCCGAGCATGTTTCGTGAGAGGCATGGGGTAGGACAAAGCTGTCTCTGTCTTTAGGAGTCTTAAGAAATATTCACATCACATGGGATTTGATATACAAAAAGGGAGCCTGCTGGAATCTCCTGGAGTCCATGGGCTGGTGGGCGGGGGGTTGGGTCTGCAGGACAGCTAAACAGGAGGGAGGGTGGGCTGTGCAGAGGGGGGGGTGTTCAGATGACAGCTGTGCTGCTGAGGGCCCCCCGGGTGTGGTGGCATTTCCGTATCAGCGGGCTGAAGGAGACGCAGTGCCCTCCTGTCATCTGGACTGCCTAATTTCACACTTCTGTGTAGCTCTCATCCCATCACCATATAACTTTGTTTACATTCGCTAAACAAACATCTGCAACAGATCACAGGCTTTTTATTCTCGTGCCTTGGGTGTAGTAGGCTCTCAGTAAGTGTCTGTTGAGTAAATCAGACTTGGGGCAGTGTAACCTCTGTGCCTTAGGTTCTTCCTCAGTAGAATGGGAATCATGATAGTATCTGCCTCACAGTGTCGTCATGACGATTAAGTGAGAGGCTGTGTGTGTGGCCACTTAGACCAGGGCCTGGCTTCAGGTCTAACCAGCATGCGTTTGCTGTTCTCAGGAGTGTGCTGACACTGCCTCCCCGGCTCTGTCACTGGCTGAACTCAGGACCACGTACAGCGACAGCGAGCTGGCTGCAGAGTTCGCCAACGCCATCCGTCGGTAAGCACCCTTCTCGTGACCCTGACAAGGTTTTATTCTGGGAGCAACAGCTTTGCTCTGAGTCCTCTTGACCGTTCCTGCCAGCGCTCCTGGATCGTGACAGGCCTGCCCAGGAAGGAGGAGCTTCCGCGGTATCCCTTGTGGGGTTTGGCTTACGTGTTAAGTTTTTATTTTGGTGATGAAATCTGTCACCTCTCTAATGATGGGTCCTACATTTGTCCCATCCTCGCTGGCCAGGCATGGAGCAGCCCTGCTGCCGCCAGACCTCTCCAGAGGGGGTGATGGGAGAGTATACAGGTGGTCGTTTCACTTGCAAATAGAAAATGTCGTCTCTTTGCCTTTTTGTTGCATTNCTCCAGAGGGGGGTGATGGGAGAGTATACAGGTGGCCGTTTCACTTGCAAATAGAAAATGTCGTCTCTTTGCCTTTTTGTTGCATTGCTGCGTTGGCTGGATCCTTCAGGACAGTGCTCAGCGGTCGGTCAAAACGGGCCTCTCCCCCTTGTTTCCAGCGTCAGTGCGGGTGCTGCGTCAGCATCGCCACTCCTTCCGGTCGGAAGGCCTCTGTGTGGGTTCAGCTCTGGACATTTTCCCCTATTGTTTCAGTGTTTCTTCCTCTTTCCTCTCTCCTTCTGCAAGAAGCAGGCTGGTTCACCTGGCCCTGTCTTCTTGTCCTCACTCGCGGTACTTTCTTCGCACTCTGTCCTGGGAAGCACCAACCCCAGAAATGCAATGCAGTCCACATGTGTCACGTTAGGGTTTCTAGTAGCCAGATTTAAAAAGTCAAAAGAAACAGGTGAAATCCACAGAACATATTTTATATACCCGGGGTATCCAAAATATTATTTCAACATGTAATCAATATTTTTAAAGATATATTAATGAGATGATGATGATGATGATTTGTACCAAGTTTTCAAAATCTAGTACACATTTCACACGTACAGCACATCGTGAATTTGAGCCAGCCCACATCTCGGGGCTCAGCAGCCCCGTGTCTGCGGCTGCCTACCAGGTAGTGCAGCTCTAAGGGATTCTTCAGCTCCGTCGTCCAACTCACTGATTTATTCTTCAGCTGTATCCGCTGTGCTGTTCGGCTCCCAGGCTGAGTTTTTTATTTTGGTAGTGAGATCTGTCCTCTCTGTACTGCTATGCTATCCTCCTGCTCTCTCTCAGGGTATTTCTTATACTGATTCTAAAATGTTACTTTGCTGTATTGACTGTTTCCTCACATCACATTCTTCTTAGAATTGAGTTTAGTGACTCTTTCTCGGCGTTGGCTCACAAGCTCACGTTCTCCTGGCCCATGGTCGCTCTTCAGGCGGCATCTCTGCCCCGAGCCTCCGGCCCCTCCTGTCCTGCTGCCAGCACCTCCGGCAGGAGCCCCTTGGAGGCCCCTTCTTTTCACAGCACTGTTCTTCTGTTTGTATTCTGCGTTGTGGTTTCCTTTTTTGGGAAGAATAAAAATCTGCCTTGCCTTTTCTGTGATTGCTGATCATCTCTGGAATACAAAGAATACTCCTTGCTTTCTAACATGTTCAGGGATTTTTAAAAAACACATTTCCCATCCTTTCTGGGGTTTGGGTAAGAGGGGAGGCTACAACACACCCAGCCGAGCCTGTTTAGTTTACAGCGTGGCCTCCAGGCGGACGGCGGATGGAAGGTAGGCTGCCTCTGGGAACTTCATTACTTTCCTGACTCACTGTCACTGTCACTTTCTGTCTTTCCTTCCAACTTGTAAGAGCTCTGTTTTTACACAGCCAGTGCCACTGGCCATGTGGTTAAGTTTTAATTGCTTGGCATGAGGTGGGCAGAGAGAAGCAGCACAGGAAAACGCCCTCCGGGAATCCTGATGGCCTGCCTGTGCCAGCCGCCTGGGGCGCAGACCCACTGCCGGCTTCCCACTGGGGGCCATTTGGATGTGGTGTCTGTGAGCTCAGCCCCTACATGTTTAAAATTCCCTGAACCTCAAAGGCCTCTGTTGGCACAAGGAGGTGCAGGTTCTGCTGACTCAACACAAAGAGATTTCATTTGCTCAGTCGGCACAGTGGATTTCCAGTGACCAGCCTTAAGTTGGTTAGCATGGATTTCCAATCAAGACCCAGTGTATGGAGCCAAGACAGAACCCACAGGGCTACAGAAAAAGGGCAATAACATAATTATACTGTAAGTGGAGCTTAAAAACTGGAATAATCATTTCACAAGGGTCTGTAATACAGACACCTGAGGGCTGAGGCTTGGGGATGTCTTTATTTTTAAAAATCAAGTGGAAACGAACACCTTTGAAGGTATTAAATTAGCACCAGGCTAGTGGTTGAAGTCAGTTGAGGGAAGCTTCCCAGCATTTTCAGAAATATCTCTCCCTTAGAAAACGATTCAAGAGAGCAGGTATAGAGCGGGGAGGGGAAGCAGCTGAGCAGAGCCAGCCCCCGTGAGGAAGGCGCCTGTGACCTTCCAGACACTGGTTCTGAGGTTCCTGCCGTGTCCCAGCCTGGTCCCCCCCGACCTCGCTGGGCTTCAGCCTCGGCCGGCCTTGCCACCCACCCTGCCCTCTCATTGTGTCTTCCCCAGCCGCCCTCTGCTTGGATCAAAGCCAGGACCGCACGCGGTCCCACACTTACTACGCACCCCCCATCTGCTCGGATTGTCCCTCCGCTTCCACCAACGTTTACTGTGGGCTCCGGCACTGCCTTCCAGCCCCATCTGGAAGCCCAGGTTTCCAGTCTCGCGCACGAAGCTTTCCCGACCGGGGGGCCTTGTTTCTGCCATTGTCCCCACAGGCTGCGACAAAACCCTCTTCATCCCACATCCCGCTCTTGCTCTTCATGGCGGTAACATTCAACTGAGTGATCTTCACATCGAAGGGTTGAGCAGTAAATGTGCAGTTAGGGAGAGGGAGTGTTCAGAAGTGATTTTCCTTTGTGCTTTAATGTGTTTGTGCAGCCTGCCCGGGGGCCCCGAGCACAGCTGAGAGGGGCGGACTTTGTCATCCACGTCATATCCCTGGGCGGCAGTGGGGGACAGGTGGTGGTCTCCGTGGGTGGGGTGGGGGTGGCCCAGCAAGGCTGGTGGTTCCCCAGCGTCACACAGCGAGTCACTGAGCTGGACGCCACGTGCTTACAGATGAGTGTGAGCCAAGCCCGCTCATGTGGGCTCACCTGAGCCCTGTGCCCACCGTAGTGTGCGGGGTCTCGGCACCCAGGAGCCTCTTTGTTCCTGGTATGTGACCATGTACCCATCCCCCAAATGCTGGGGGCAGATGAAGTGCTGGGCGTGGGGGCAGCTTCCTCAGTCACACCGACCCTGGTTGTATTGATTAAAGGGCAGGGATGCCATGCTTACTCCTCAATGCCAGGGGCAGGGAACAGTCGGGACAAGTCCACACCCACATGTCCCTGGGCCCCAAGCAGGGCAGGACCCCATTCAGTGGGAGATCAGGACCTTGCTCTGGCTCCAGCTCCAGCTCCGACACAGCCGCCTCAGAGGTGGGCCCCTGCTCCTGCGGGAGGCCGTGGTCACTGAGTCACCGGCCCACCGGGGCTCTCCTGGGCCCTTCAGGGATCTGGGATCTGTCACCTGCAGGTCCTGTAAAATGCTAAGGAAAGGCAGTCAACAAGTCACAGTAGCCACTCTTCAGGAACAGGTGTCCCCGACTCAAGGTCAAGGAAAGAAAGTGTTTCAAAGCGGGGAGGCCGCCACTTCACATTGGAGTGGGCTGAGGGGAGAGGCAGAATCGGGACCGCCGGCAGGGTCCCAGTTCGCCTGCTGTGGAGAGAGGAGAATTATCAGGAAACTTTCTAAGGATGGAGACCCCAGAGCCCATCTGTGTGCTCCCTGCAAGGGCAGGATTCTTCAGGGTCACAAAGTAACTTTATAAAATGCAAATGAGACAGTCCCCCCCCCACTAGTGTTGCTGTGTTGCAACTTAACACACGCTTAGTGGCCTAAAACAGCGCCCACTTGCTAGCTCCTGGCTTCCTGAGGGAGAGCAGATGGCTCCGACTGACGGGTCCCGGCTTCCGCAGCGGTGGGTTAATGCTGTTGGAGCCACGCGGAGGGCGGGTGACATGAAGAGGGAACTGGGTGCGGTCCTTTTAGAGAGGAGCCCGCTGAGCGAGCGCAGCGGCTTCCCCAGGATTCGGAGGACCGTTACTTTCAAAGGCGCTACTCCGTGAACTTGCACCTGCTCGCTGCGTCCTGGCTGGTCCGTCGCAGCCGCCAGGAGCGGAGGTTGTGCGCAGAACCTGGAAGTGCGCGGCCGGGCCCGGCCGGTGGCGGAATAGAGGTGTCTGCGCGTCGTCTTCACGTGCGCAGCCGGCTGAGCTCCAGAACCGCACCAGTGAAGACTGATGCCGGCCCCGGGGCTTGAGGCGGGTGTTGCTTAGTAACTGTGATTTCCTCTCATTTTTATCCGTCCCCTCATGTTCCAAAGCCTCAGTGAGCAGGCCTTACCCAGATCTCATGAGGGCAGAGTGACGGAGCAAACCCTGCAACCCCAGGCAAAGGCAGTGACACGCGTGACCACACGCACGCATTTCCCGGGCAGGAAACATGTTTGTGGGAGAGACGGGGACCAGACCGACTGTTGGCATCACCTTGCTACTACCCCTGGCAAAAGGCAGACACACACAGACATAACCCCTGCAGGCGAACGTCATTAGCTGTGGCCACCTCATCCCACAGGCCCGTGCTCTTCACCAGGGGTCTCACCTCCTGCCCAGTGCCCGCCCTCTGGGGGTGCCAGCGTCCTCCAGCAAGATGCTGGGACTCGGGCTCTGCAGGCGGATTCCTGGTGGGATCCCAGCTCTGCTGGCAAGTCTCTTAACTGTGCCTCAGGTTCCTCATCTGTAGCATTAGAATAACAATGCTGACCCCGGGGGTTTGAGAATTTACGTTATCCTAAAGGACTTAGAGATAGCTCTTACACACTGCCTGGATTTTCTAAAAAATAATTAGTGACAGATTGTGACATTTACCATGAAGGAAATAAGTAGGGTCAAG